AATTACGATTTCACGCAGCAAATGAAGAAGATTCAAATGTCTCATATGCATTAGACATGCATGTATAATTTATTTTTAATTAACTTTTTCTTCTAGGGCTTATATTTTATAATATAATTTTTTTAAGGATCTGGGACTATGACAGAGGCAGCACAAAGCACACGCAATGTTGACCTGTCACCTGGTCAGTCATTATAATCAAAACAGTCGGTTAGGTTGGGTGTGATTAGCAGAAGAAACATATTTGACCTAGGTGCAGTTGGAGACAGCCTTAGCGGGTTAGATGTGTCCCTAGGTGGGACCACGACCTACAATACAACCTCCAAATGCTTGAGTACGCCTTCTACAAACTCCCTGAACCACGAGACTCAAAATGTGCCAAAAGCTACACTGCAGTACATATTATTACATCATACTTTTATTTTTTATAATAAAGTATTTAACTCTTTTACAGAGGCACCCTGCAGTGACTCGATAAGGCTATCCACAAGTGCAACCTCCAATTGTGAATAACCCAACCTTTTGGGAATGTCTCGGATCCGACAGCATTCCGACCGATACTTTATTTTTCGCATTTTATTATCAATAGGTATTTTATTTTTATATCAGTTGCAATTTTTATTTTAAATATTCTGAAATGTGTGTGTGATTTCATGCAGAATGCTTATTAACAATAATATAACTGTGCAGAATGCTTATCAACAATATCTGCAAAGTTATAGCATTGTGTTTTCAATCTTTTTTTTTTCATTTAACCTAATAGACATGGTGTGCATTGTGTTTTAAATAAGTATGCAGAATGCTTATCAACAATATCTGCACAGTTATAGCATTGTGTTTTCAATCTTCTTCTTCTTCTTCTTCTTCTTCTTCTTCTTCTTCTTCTTCTTCTTCTTCTTTTGCATTTAACCTAATAGACATGGTGTGGATATGTGAATACAAGTTCCTGAGGAGTCACAGCTACTGTTCAGGGCTTCTGTATCATCATTGGAGTGTTGTTATTTATCGGGATCAGATGATGGTAATATCGAGCATTAGACTGTATTTCGAAAATCATTAATGTGTATACTCAATTCCGGGATTGTGGGATCTCCCTATCTTAATAAAGAATGGATCACTGATCCAGAAACCATACGATATTAGAAACAAAGTCAAAACAGTTATCTGTACATCACATATGTAAACATACACAACATATTCATGGTCCAGTTGCATGTATATGCAAATGTTGGACGAATTTATCTAGATTAAATAATTATTTTATGTCATTATTGTGCATATGGTTATGTATAGTCATTTTTCTGATAAGTAGATGTTCTTGATCAAAACCGAGCCCGCGGAGCGGGGCACCCCACCTAGTTATTATTATTATTATACAATAATTCAATATATGGGTTTTATTGATAAAATACTTATTTTTAGGTTAAAATACATTTCAATATTAAAATACTTATTTTTAAGTTAAAATATAAGTTTTTATGTTAAAATATATATTGATATGTATTTATATGTATTGTAATGTAAATATTAAATGGGTAAATTCCGTATATAGTTTTGTTAAACAATAAAATATCGTATTTATACATCCTAAAATCTAAATATCATATATATTTTTTATCTTTTTAAAATATTGCATCCCCCAAACTTTTTTTAAATATTTTTTAACAGTTTATAATCAATTATTATATTTAAGAATCATTATAGTTTAAATAGAAAGAATAAATTGACTAAATTACCATTAGATATTAAACCCCTTCCTAGAATAAAACTAATAAACCATTACCTGCATTTATTTATTGTCCATGGTGCGTGGTGAGGTGGATTCATGAGCATCTATATGAAATACATGTTTGTTTGGAATTGATAAATAAACAGGTATGATATTACTGGAAAATGATTCATTGTGTATCTTTCCACTTTTAATCATGGCTTCTAGGGTCTATACTAATTGATGAGCTTTGATTGAAAACATGTTCCATTTAGAAAGATTTTGATAATGGCTAAGATGCATTGTTTCTCATAAAAGCTATCCAACATACCGATCAATTTCTAGAATTATACTAGTACATAATAACTAAAAAAAAAGAAATTAGGGATATAACAGGTAACTAATGTTTTATCATATGATACAAATTTCAAAATAATGCCAATACAAGATGATTATATACAACTTATGAACCCCACATATATTTAGCACACCCACATATATTTAGCACCAAGATTGGACTATATACAAGACAATTAGACACAAATTGACTCTTGATTGACATCGTAACCATTAGAGGATACGTACACTTCTAAACCCTAAGAAGGTTAAGCAAAAAGAAATATTTAAGGGTGGTATGGTAAAAAAAAATGAATTATAATGATTTTTAGATATAACAATTTATAATAAATTGTTAAAAGATGTTCAAAAAATGATTTGGACAAATACAATATTTTAAAGTTTAAAAAAGATAAATATGATATTTGAATTTTAAGACGGATAAATACAATATTTTGTTGTTTAATAACGTCATATATGATATTCACCCATAACTAAAATATATAGTGACATTGAAAACATACTAAAATGTCTTTTCATGTTAAAATACACACAGATGCATACTTTTTAGGTTAAGACACTTATTTTAGGTTAACATACATAAATATACTTTTTAAATGTGTTAATACTAAAGCACCCATTTTCACTTATAGCGGTTAATAAATATAAGTTTTTGTTTATAAAAATAAAAGTGAAGATATGTTGCTTTTTAGCCAAAGTATTCAACATAAAAGTTGTAATAGTCCTCAATTCAAACCCGTGGATACAAAGAACGTCGAAAAAAAAGTTCGAATCAGAAAGTTACGATTTTTCGAATTTACAATGAATTCCAGAAGCGTTGGGGCGCCTATCAAGGGCGTGGGGCGTCTTTAGGGAGCGGGGTGCCACATTTAATGCACTTGACAATTACAGTTGAGGTTACATACACGAAAACCAACATTACGTGCAAAAAAATAAATTGTCAGTCCGGACCGTAGAGCGCGGCGCATCCCTATAGGGCGCAACATGTCTTTCTCTTTTTCAGCTTATAAACCGAGGCCTTGGCCTCCCGCATTTATGGCCCCATTCTATTTCAAAGAGTCTCTCTCTCTCACCCGCTAGCATTTCGGTCCCTCCTGATTCGACTTCTCATTCTGTAATCTAGTTTAATTTATATTTTATAAATTATTTGCTCTATCATAAAATAAAATAAATAATAGAAAACCACACAAAAAACCTACCAATTATATATAATTGCTTAAGAAAACCCTTATATAATTTATTAGTACATTTTAACCATTAATCTTTTAAAAACCACTATATTATGTATTTTATCAGGTAACCGGTCACCCATTCTCATTAGCCGATGTGGCTTACACTTGAATAGATTGACCCCTCCTTCAAAAATTCAATAGATCATTGTGTAACAATGTTTTAAAACCCGGGTTGACCCGGCCGGTTCAACCGGTCGGACCGTGACCCGGGGTAGAAGGCGGGTCAATTGAGACCAGTTTTTTGTAAAAATACGAACCGGATCGAACCGGCCGGGTTTCCTCTAAACCGCGGTTCAACCGCTTATGTCGAACCGGTTAAAACCGGATTGACCCGTTTTAATAGGGTTTGGATAGTTGAAAACAAGTAGCGAAGACCAAAACAACGAGTCATTTGCGGTTTCTTCAATGTTTTTCAATATTTTTAAATATTTAAACTTTGTGGACATTAAATTATTGGTTTTATATGTTTATGCATTATGCATGAAAGTAAAAATATATAAAAATAGAGAAAGACCATAAATCGGGTTGACCCGGCGGTTCAACCGGTTGAACCGGTTGACCCGTGAACCGGTCATCATACTGGGTCAACCAAAAACCCGGGTTTTAAAACATTGTTGTGTAACGTGGAGATGGGAAAGCTTTGTGGAAGTGGCGATAAAATTAGTCTCAACACCCTTCATCAATACCAAATCGACTCGACATTCAGGTCCACACGTGCACCTCCTCTTTATCAACCTTCAAATGTTAAAAAAAATAATAATAATAAAAAAATAAAAAATAAAAAAAATAAAAAATAAAAAAGTGATTATCGCAGTCGTGGTCTCGATGGATGGTTCTCGGTTTTTCGGATTTAAGCAGAAGTAGCAACAGGTAATGGTGGTTCTCGGGTTTAATAATAATAATAATAATAATAATAATTAAAAAAAAAAAAAAAAAAAACGAGATGTTTTTGTTCTGTTGCAGGTTCTCGATGGGGACGATGAACAGTGTCCGTCTTACTTCTCCTTGATTCTTCTTCTTTCAAGTCTGGATGGTGGATGCTTGAAATTGAAAACGAAGCAGCAGATGGGTTAAGGTCTCGATAGTGATGGTGTTTGGCACAAAAAAAAAAAAAAAAAAAAAAAAAAAAAAAAAAAAACGAAGAGCAGCATCAGGTTTCGAAGATTAACATTTGATATGATGTTTGCTTGGGAAATTCCAGATTCTGCTAGCCAGCAAACCATAAATGTATGTTCTTTTGTAGTGTTGTACATTCATTATGTAATGATGATATCCCCAAAATTTGTATGGTAAGAAAGACGCTTTTTATCAGTTTACAGATTTCAGAAGCTTCTCAGACTTGTAATTTTCAGTTTTTCATTCATTCACAGTTAAGGTAGACCTTAGATTGAACAATTTGGATAACTGTGCATGCAGATAGATGAGGATCCAACAGTGGGGATTGAGGCCTTTTCCAGAATAGCTCTAGCTGTGGCTATTAATTGAAAATGTAATTAATAGTCAGTAAATACATTTTGGGTTTCTTACTGCATCCACTGGAGGTGGAGGCAGGCTTCAATATTCTACATATGAGAAATATCTTTCTGCATTGGAAAGGTGCTCAAAATACTTCTGCAATCTGCTCTTATATTTGCGATTAAAGATCTTGTGTTCCATGTTCTTGGATTCTGAATGTAACAAGATTGACTTTTCAACAGGTCTATTAAAAAACTTAAATCACACTCAGATCATCTTTGCTTCAAGCGAAACAGGGGTATTCGGGGTGATCACGGTTGTATAGGAGGTGGTGTAAACAGAGAAAAAAGGAGGCTGTTCGGTTCTCTCTCTCTCTCTCTCTTTTTTTTTTTTTTTTTTTTTTTGCAGTTGCGGAGATGAAGAGGATGATGAATAGTGAAGAACACATACACCTTATATTTCTTCAAACCCACGTAGACTTCACCTATTATCACCAAGAACACGTAAACCACTTCCATCAAGCCACCTTAACTAAAACCTCCTGCATGAAGAACACGTAGCACCCAGTACTATTCATCATCTTCCTCACAAACCTCACCACCTTATACCTCCATTTTACCCACCATAAACACTTACCTGTTATAGCTAAGAACAAGAACAGAAAACCACCTTGAATCGCTACCTCATACACCACTATACCTTCAAACCACCACAAAAGCTGTGTTACCGGTAGCTTTGTCTAACCGGTCACATATATAGCATGAAAACAATCAAATTTAGAAAGCATAATGGTTAATTCGTACAAAAAGATTATATAGGGGTTTTTTTTTAAGCATTAAGGTATAATATATAGGGTTTTTCTGAGCACGTGTATATTTTCATGGCTAAAAATTAAGGTCGCCAGGGGAATTCTTATCGACGTTGACGTTGACCATTACTTCGCTACAAATCATGTCTGAACCCATTACTCTTCCATCTACTCAACATTCATTGGAAAAAAAAAAAAAAAGTTTGCTCTGGATTAATATCACTTGAATTAAGAATTAATCTCAGGTATTTTTATTCTTCAAATGCATCGATTCATCACTTTCATGTTTTTGTGATTCGATTTTGGTGATTATATAATCACTATGACGGTGTAGGGAAGTAAGCAACCGGAGAGATGAATATCGCAACTAGAAGCTCAGGTCCTGGAGTAACCTACCACCACCATCAACAGAACCAAATGGCCATTCCGATTGTTCCTCCACCAGTGCCACCACCAATGCCACCATCACCGAATCTACCTCGATCAGATCTATTTACAGGTAGTACAATTATAAGTATATAACTTTAACTGAAATTTTACAAAATACTACTCTACACAATTTGAAAATTAAAATAAAGTAAAGTAAATTTGTAAGTTTTGGAATTTGGGGATGGATTTCTTATAAGAAAGGTTTTTCAGTGAGAATACACAAGGAAAAAAGGGTATTTCAGGAAAAATGCTGAAGTCATATATATATATATATATATATATATATATATATATATATATATATATATATATATATATATATATTATATATATATATATATATATATATATATATATATATACACACTAGGGGTGAGCATGGTGCGGTTTTTGTATAAAACCGCAACCGCAACCGCAAATTGCAGTTTTTTAAAACCAAAAACCAAAAATTGCGGTTTTGATTCGGTTCAGTTTTGCGGTTATTTTTGCAATTTTTCGGTTATTTCGGTGCGGTTTCGGTTTTTAACCACAAAATGAGGTAGTGCGTTTTTCCGGTTAAAAGGGTATGGTTTTTCATGTTGAAACCCAAAAATCTAGTCGACTTTCATTTATTTCTAGATTTTCATTGCAAATAAATCACAATTTAGGTCCATTTTTATTCTTTCAAGTTAGCATTTTATTATGTTATATTGAATTCATTTCATTCAAACAATTAACAATATGTCTAACATTTACTAACAACCATTTACGCAACAAAAACTAAACAATAAAAATCATAAGATGATAAAATTGATAAATTTCAACATTGTCTAACTTCGACATACTAATTTATTTTTATCAAATAAATATAATTATTATAAGTATTTCAATAATATATTAAATTATGCGGTTTGCGGTTCTTTCGGTTAATTTGGTGCTGCTATTAAACATAAAAACGAACCGCACCGTAATTTTCGGTTTTTCAAAATTAAAAACCGCACCATCGGTTTTTGTTTCGGCTTCGGTTTTTGCGGGTATTTCGGTTTGGTTTGTGCTCACCCCTAATGTTTACAACTAACTTTCTCTATTCCTTCTGCAATCCCCTAATGGTTTTGAACCCCATTTAGATTTACTAACTCAAAGGTTGGATTACAGTTCTATACTTCTATCTAGGGATTTCAGATACAAGTACCCAATATAATTCAAACCTGCTTTTTGAAATTTGAAGGAAGAAGAGAAGACTACAACAAGATTGGTATTCCACTTTATGAAGCGTCAATCATAGGCAATTGGAAAGCTGCAAAACCCATCCTTGACTAACAACCAGAATTGATACGTTTTGCTATCACTGAAAATTACGAAACACCCCTTCACATTGCAGCATCAGCAGAAAGCACCAAAGCCGTGGAAGAATTTGTGGAAAATTTAGTGAATTTGATGGAAAAGAATGATTTGGAACTACAAAATAAAAGTTACAATACTGCCCTTGGTTCAGCAGTTGCAGCAGGAAACGTGAAAATAGCAATGATAATGGTGAAAAAGAACAGGGATGTGATAGAAATCCCTGGTCGTTATAGAACAATGCCACTCTGTCTCGCTGCTTTATTTGAAAAGCCTGATATGGTTAGATATCTGTATGCGAATTCTAATAGACTATCGGGTCAATTTTGGAGTCATGAGAATCCGGGTTGGCTTCTACAAAAATGTGTTGAAGTTGATATCTTTGGTAAGTTGTTTTAACAAAATTCTTGTTAGTTGTTATTGGTTTGTCATTTCTCCTAAATGAAAGAAGTAGCAATGTACTTTCATTTCAACATTCTCTTATCAATATTTTTCTAAGAACATTATACTTTGAAAAATCTATCCACTTATAGCAACTAGAAATCATTTCATATTTGGATGATATTGCTATAATTGGGTATAGATTTTTCAAAATAAGATGAAATAATGAATATAATAATTACTTTGCTATTTCTTGCATTTAAGTCTTCTGTATCTTTTTCTTATATATATTATTCTTTTGTAGATGTTGCTATTAAAATAGTGAATGATTGCCCTGACCTGTGTGCCGAACAAAGATTACTCACAGATGTACTCTTAGTTTTAGCTCAAAAGACTCATGCATTTAAAGAGAGAAAATCACATATTGTTGTCAGAATCATCAAGTCAAGTAAGTATATGCTTGCTAGTTTATTATCTTTGCTCTGTTTTTAATTTTTTACAATAATACCAATAACAAGAATAATAATAATAAACCTTTTTTTTTGTTACTAAATCGAATAATAAAATGTTTTTTTAACAATTGGAATGATATTAAAGCATGTTTTTAAAGAATACTTATTTTTTCGTCCCTTTTTGGATTTTCTTTTTTTTATAAATAATTACTATGTTAAATATGGTTTCAAAATGGATTAAGTAAACGAACTTATACCAAATGTCTAGAAAACAACATTTTACACACTTTATTACATTAAGAGATAATCAACCATGATGGTTGTCCCAAATATCTCCAACTTTTCTTTTTTTAAAATTTTGTTCAAGTTTTTATTTTCGTTATGATTTTGGTCCAAAGGTTTTTATAGAAACTAATTTTTGCTTATTGCTTTCGGTTTTTGCAGTCTTTCACGTGAATATAGGACGTGCAGAAAAGGAAAGTGAAGCTCTTCAATTATTAAAAATACTATGGAAAAAAATAACAAAAATGCCCAAGAGCGAGATTGATGATATAATACGAGGGCCACCTTTGGAAGTTCAAAAGCAAGGGGGTATAATTAAAACCTACCCTTCTCAAGTACTTTTTATTGCTGCAAAAATGGGCAACACTAGGTTTATAATTGAGCTCATTCGGTCATATCCGGATTTAATATGGAAGCTCGATGACAAAGGGCAAACTATATTCCACATAGCTATTAAACGTCGTCATGCAAAGATCTATAATTTGTTATATGAGATTGGCTCAAGGAAAGATTTAATTACTCCAATTAAGGACAAAAATGGGAATAATATGTTGCATTTAGTTGCCAAGAGTGCTAAGCCGAAACGATTTCAAAACGTGTCAGGAGTCGCCTACAAATGCAACGGGAGTTATTATGGTTCAAGGTTGGTGTTTCTTTTTGACTTAATGCATACATAACGACTTGATAAAGAAAGTTAAGGAAATTCGACTTGACCCATTAAGCCCATTTTCTTTATTATTTATAATTGATAATGGAACCATAATAGCAATGCACTTGCATTTCCTTACCCAAAAAACAATGTTATTTCCTCTAATTTTCCCTAATAAAAGTGACTTGATAATATATCATGATATATACATGTTGTAGGAGGTCGAGCGGATGATCCAACCTAATCACAGACAAAGAAAAAACGCTCAGGGGGAGACACCACACGACTTATTCACCAAAAAGCACGAAACACTCGTTGCCAAAAGCGAAGATTGGATGAAGAACACTTCTGCTCAGTGTATGGTGGTGGCAACTCTCATCGCCACCATCGTGTTTGCCGCTGCTTTTACCCTCCCCGGCGGTTACAACCAAAACAGCGGCATTCCTTTTTTCCGCCACAAACCAACACTCATTATCTTTGTGATCGCAGATGCATTTTCTTTAATATTCTCTTCCACCTCAGTGCTCATATTCTTATCCATTCTCACGTCTCGTTATGCTGAACGTGATTTCTTGGAATCGTTACCCAAAAAGCTAATGTCTGGTCTTGCAACGCTTTTTCTTTCAATTGTGACCATGATGATTGCTTTTGGTGCGAGTTTTTTTGTGCTTTATAACAAGCATTTGAAATGGGTGCCTATCATTGTGGCGGGGTTGGCTTCTATTCCGGTGATTTTATTTGCGATATTGCAGTTTAGGCTTCTAGGGGATGTGTATCATTCCACGTATCAGTCTAGGTATCTATTTAAGCCCAAGACACATATGCTTTACTATTGAAATCCTTGTAAAAGGTGAATAGTACATCTATTATGTCCTTTATCTGGTTATTGAAATTGTAGTAATGTTTTTTTCCAAGATGTACTATAATGAGTATTGTCGCTTACACTTTAATGAGGGTGTCAATTCATAAACCCACTACTCAATGACCTATTCTTATTAGCTGAAAATTTTAAGAGCCACCCTTCTCAAACCTTGATTTAATAACCTTATTGTTTAGTTAAGAGAACTATGTCTAGTCCTTATATATAAAAATTCTAATGGCATGGGTGTTCCTTTCATTAGCCACTCTTTTCTAAGAAAAAAAACGTTAATTATCTGCTGAAGATTTCCAGCTGCTTCTTTCATAGATGATTGAGCCGATGCTGCTACTGCAGTTCCAATTTTTTGCTGCTCATCCGTTGGAAATCAACCGCTGCCTAATCATTGGAAACTAACTGTTGCCCATCCGCTGAAAAACAATCGTTGCTCATCCATTGTTGTATCCTATGGTGGTTCATTAACCCGTGGAGGCTAGGTTTGGGAGGGTAACCAGACTTATTATAGAAAGATGTGACATCCACAAATTAATAAATACTAAATCTATTTTAAAGCTAAACTTGAAAGAAAAAATAATAATAATAATATTAAATTAAAGAGTTGTAAGTTTAAGATTTACAAGTAGAGATTATATGTTTTACGTTGCAATCTTTATAACCGTTGACGGTAACTAAAATTTATCAGTTCAATCTTTACTTGTTGGTGCCATTAAAATTCGACCACATGTATTATCGAAGTAGCTTTCGAGCAAAAAAGGTCACATGGGGAATTTTTGAAGCTGACGTTGACCATGACTTTCCTACAAAATCATGTGTAAAACCCGGGGATTTTATAATGTAATTATAACCAACTTGATATTTATTATTTTACTAGGTTAAAACCCGTGGAAAGGGATGTAAGTTAGAAATTTTATATAGTACAAAAAAATTAATAAATATAAAAAAGCATTTGATTGTGGATGGTAAGTAGTACAATTTTATTTGATTTAAAAAAAAGTAAACATAAACTTCAACATAGATTTTGAAATACTTCCTTGAACACAACATTGGAAGTTTTATTAGTCAAATTACCATTCTTATCTAAAATCAATAACTTCAATCTTTCTCTACTCTTTACTCTAGATAAAGCAACGTATAACTGACCGTGTGAGAAAACCGGTTCTCGCAAAAACAACCCAACCCTTTTTAACGATTGGCCCTGACTTTTATTTATGGTCATAGCAAAACAAACCGCTAGGGGAAATTGTCTCCTTTTGAACTTATATGGAATTTTGTTGTCTGAAGGTGTTAAAGACAACCTTGAAATAAAAACTCAATGTCCAATGTTACTTCCAGTTAAGACCATTGTTTCTATGATGCGATTACCCAATGATACGACCTGAAGTCTAGTACCATTACATAACCCATTTTTTTGGTCGATATTTCTTAGTAACATAACCGGAACATCAACCTTTAAAATCAACTTATGGTTTGGCAAACCGGAGATTTTAAGTCCATTTAGAACATCAGGTGAATATAAACTCTCATCAAACTGATCATGAATAAACCCTGTTTGGCAGCTGCTATCTGAACTGAGGTATTCTTTTTCTTCTCCAGGAAACGATGAAAGCAGACGATCATTTATTTCTTGTACAACTTCATTTTTCGGTGCAAGTATTGATCTTTCTTCAAAATATTTGGGATCGTTCAAGTTGTCAAGAAGTGATGGATATACAAACTCAATTAATGAACCGATAGGATTAGAAGATTGGGTAATAAGAAGATATTCAAGAATACGAATAACTGCATCACCATCATTAGAACCACCAGCATTTCCCTCTCCTATATCCAAGAGCCAATTTGCAAATAACCTTGTTTGTTGTATTTCAGACGGATCTTTTCCAACAGTCAACCTCATGTTCTTCGTTAATTTTAAAACTTTGCAATTTGTCCATATATATGAAGAACTTAACGACACGTTGACAATTTCTTATCTACTACCATTAGGAACAACTGGTAGAATCTGTCTAAAATCACCTCCAAATACGATTACTTTACCTCCAAACGGGATATGTGAGTTCCTAACGTTCCCAAAACTTAAAACATCCCTTAAAGTGCGATCCAATGCTTCAAATGCATGCTTATGAACCATCGGTGCTTCATCCTAAATAATTAGCGATGTTTGTTTTAGTAATTTGGAGGCATCACTGTCTCAATTTATAGAACAAATTGAATTTTCAGTAAGATTTAATGGAATACCAAAGCGAGAGTGTGATGTTCTACCTCCGATTAGTAACAAAGAAGCAATACCACTTGAAGCAACAGTCAAAACAATTTGACCTTTAGATCTGATAGCTATTGATAAAGTCTTCCAAAGAAAGGTTTTGCCTGTTCCACCATAACCATAAACAAAAAACACACCTCCTTTATTATCTTCAATTGCTGCCATTACATCCTTAAAAACACCTCGTTGTTCATTTGTTAATGAAACAATCACTGTTTGAAATTCGTTTTGAAGACTTGTGATGTCATAAGATAACTCCTCAGCAATCAAACGATTATTATAAGAAGATACACAATCAAAATCTGGGTAAGGCAAGTTCTTGAGGGTGGAATTGTTACGAAGTAGAAATGATTCAATCTCAAACAAAGTCAAGTTCTTCAATTGATGATCAGTAAAGGATAAATTTGTAGAATGGTAAATATAAATTTAGAAAAAAAAAATACAAATATACGGTTTATATAAAAAATGTTAAAGTAATAAAAGCTAAGTATTATACTAGGAGACTTTAACCGACGTCGTTGATTGTAAAGAATTCCGTCTGAAAGGTATTCCCATGTATTTTCCCAAACAAATATTGGTCTTCCCAAACTATCAGAGATCAACATCATTAAAAATAATGACCGTAGTTAATAACAAGTAGCTGAATGGCTTCCTTCTTTAATAGCTTCAATATACTCTTTATCATCGTCTAGAAGCCCTAAAGCGTCACATGCATCTCTAAAAGTAGGACATATTTCTCGATTTACTGTTCGGATATCTTCAAAAGATGTTGGACCTCTAACCTTGTTTAAAAAAATTCTTAAGAAATATGCTTCACCAAGTTTAGGTGAAACACATGAATTCTCCCAATTGAAAATCCTACTTCCCTTGGTTCCCATTTCCGTGAATTAGCTTTCCACACAAACTTTGTAGGGAATTCAACATAAGTAAGATCTCGAGCTTGTTTATAGATCTTGTTACACTCAAGCCAATATGTGAACATTGAAGATGCAACAGACGGTTTGTCAAGGATATTCTCGATATCATCATCTGGATCAAAAATAACTTGTTGTTGACCAGGAAGATGAAAAGGAAGCCTAACCACAGAAGGATACCTATAATGAATATCATAACCAAAAATTCTCCATGATGCTTCACATGCATATATATATATATATATATATATATATATATATATATATATATATATATATATATATATATATCTACAATCATAATACTCTTTGATTTCTTCTACTGAATTATCAGTAGCACTTTCATTGTTCGATTGTATGACAACAAGTGTAGCTCTGTCAGGACCTTTATTGATATATTTGAATAAATATTTTATAGAACCAGCTTGATTACACCACTCAACATTAATGTGTCCTTGATATCTTTTCAAAAGGTCTTTGTTATAAGCAACAACATGTCTGTTATCCAATTTGACACCAGAATTTTCAACAAAACATCCATCATTTCGTCTCCTATAAATCGGAAAACCGTCTTCATCAATTGAAGTTTCATTGGAGAATTTGTTCGGAAAGTTTTTTGAACACTTATTATCAACCATGCATGGGCATTTCATATTTTCAGCACCACAAGGACCATGCATCATGAACTCGCTACCAAGTGAATACAAATCAGGATCTTCATTAATGTTTGGAATCTCGGTCGAAATATACTTATCAATTTGTTCAACAGTACGGAGTTTGTCATCGGAGTGCAAAAAGAGACATATATGACTATGAGGTAGTCCGCGCTTTTGAAACTCGATTGTATAAACAACTATAATTTTTTTTAAGGAAAGTAAAATAAAAAATAAAAAAAGTCAGTAATGTAAATAGATAATAAAAAGATAAATAATAAATGAAATGTAATAATTTTGTTAAGTATGATAGTATTTATACTATAAATATGAAGATGGTAAAATTGAAATGTTAAACTCAGACATACCTCCTTGAACTTTTCCGAATAATTTTTTCTCTCGCAAGTCTTTAATCATTGCATCAAGCTTTATTTTAAATATCCTACACAGAATATCCGGCCTGTCTTCAGTTTGAAATTTGTGTCTTTAAGAAACCTTTTGATTTCAGGCCATTTTGGATTGCATGTTATAGTTATAAAAAAATCTGGATATCCAAACCATTTACAAAGGGACATAGCATCCAAATAGTTCTGTTGCACGTAACGTGCACCACCAGTAAAAGAAGAAGGTAAGATAACACGTTGTTCGGTGTTGGAAAAAGTTGTTTTCCCTTGATCTTGTACATTGCGAAGATGTTCGTAGGATGCACATCTAAGATTTTTTTATTTTTTCCATACGAGAAAAAGTCTCTCACTTTCGATCATTGTATAAGCATCAACCAAAAATTGTTGGAAAAGCCTTCATGAATTAAGAATTAATGAGAAGCTATTAATCCTATCTTGAATTCTATAAGCAAAAAATTCTCTCATTGTACAGTTAGGGCGCTTTCTGCTGGTTGAACTTGTTAGACCTCGATGAAGGATGTGTACTCTATACCCATCATCGCCATATGGAAAGAGTAGTGGATACTGAAGAGCCAAATAAAAAGGATGTAATTCACTAATACGTTGAAGAGAGCCCGGTGAATTTTTTACAATGATATCTCTATTTTGAAAAGAATCATCAATGTCTCCAACAATTAGAGCAACAACTTCAGATGCAGACGGTAAACTATATGTCCTTCCATCTTGTA